TTCATCATTCAAAATTTCAACATTGTCTCGTACGATTTGTGAAAGAAATTATTATTATATTATCTGGCGATTTTAACCTACCAAAATTATGCTGGTTCACTGACGATAATGAAGATCCTGAAATTGCCATTGCATTAAATGCTACGAGAAAAAAGGAATTGATCGTTCTTGATACGTGCCATGAATTGGGTTTAGTTCAAATAAACAAACACAGTGTAATTTTGAGAATGCACTAAGCAATATGGAATTCCTTGATTTCCAGTCTGTTGATGCATGTTCGATATGTTTAAAAGGGCTGGTACATTGGATGTGTGTGTAATGGTTGGATCATTTGTATTGGCATTGTGTTGTGAGTGTACATTTGAGGTGGCATAATGTGGTACGGTGTTCCATTCCAAAAGGAATAATTGCTGTTGGGCAAAAACTGCGGATTAATCGGTAAACTCAAAATACCATCGTTTTGTGTTTGTGATGATGAGCCGCCAGTCGATACGGATTCACTCGTATCCATGTCCAAATCAACAACTTTATGTTGATCGTCAGTTGGGATTGATGCGGGTCTAAGTTCAGTCCATCCAGCATTTCCATTGTCGGAACAAACTTTGTTTTGATGTCAGCGAGTTGTTTTTTCAGTTCAATGCATTTTGTGCACGTCATTATGTAAGGTTATGATAGCTACGTAGACACGGGAAAATAAATTTACACAGAAAAAGACAACATAAACTGATTTGCACACAAAACTTGATAAAATGTTAATCAAACAGGTCCTAAAGAAGAGATTTATACATAACTCGATTTGTGAAAAGATCTTTTGATCTCTATATTCATATTTATTGCAAAATGTCCCTTGATTCATGTCCTTCATTTTCCACTTTTTCATGAATTTTATCACATGTTGAAATCATTTTTATACTTTTTCGATCGATAAACACTGAAATATTCGCATTTTAAAGAAAGAAATGACGAAAAATTTGGGAATTTAATAATTAATAAAATGGGTTTTAAGAACATTGTGGGCATCCAGTGCCCAGATATAAGAGTCGCAAAAAAGAATGTACGTGTTGAAGGTTAATTTATATAATGCCTAATAGTATAAACACTTAGAATCATTTTCCTGCAAAAACTAGAATATTCGGTGGTGTCAATTTACTAAATTTCTAAATTACTTCTATTTGCAGGACCTCCAAAACGCTGACACCATTTGTAGCGATCTATTTTATTTTATACCATTTGTTTGTGACATTGATTGTGTTATCATTGTTTGTCGCTGTCATCTTGGATAACTTGGAACTTGATGAGGATATAAAAAAATTGAAACAGCTCAAGTTTAGAGAACAGTCAGCCGAAATTAAAGAGACATTGCCATTTCGCTTGCGCATATTTGAAAAATTTCCCGATTCACCACAAATGACAATTTTGCACAAAATTCCAAATGATTTTTCCCTACCGAAAGTTCGTGAATCATTCATGAAAAATTTTGTGGTCATGGAGTCGGATGTTGATGATCCATCGATGGACATTGGCATGGATATTCACCAAATATCGGAATGCTGGGAAACAAATGTCGTGTTTAGGAAACAAAAACCTGTTCGGACAATGAATAAAACTCCAAAAGTGCGCACTGTCGGAACAAGTTTGCGTAGATTGGCAATCACTCATATTATAAACGATTCGAACAACCAAAGATTGATGTTAGGGGACTCGGCGATGTTACCGATTGTAGGAGGCGTAAAAACAGGTGGGGCTGGTAAAGGAAACACGAATAATGCTGGTGGTGGTCTTAAACATCAGGGAACCTTGACACACGCAAAACAATGGCGTGTAGATCAAAAAAAATTCGGATCGCGCTCGATTAGACGTAGTGTCCGCAGTGGTTCAATTAAATTGAAACAAACATACGAACATTTGATGGAAAATGGAGACATCGGTGCGGCAACTCGGGTTACATCGTCACGCGCCCGTCCACAAGATTTGGATATTAAATTACTTCAAGCGAAACGCCAACAAGCCGAAATGCGTAGAAATCAACGAGAAGAAGATTTGCGTGAGAATCACCCATTTTTTGATACTCCTTTGCTTATAGTGCCACGCGAAAGTAAATTTAGAAAGATATGTCAAAAAATTGTTCATGGACGTTACGATGCACGTTTAAAAGATCCTCTGACTGGAAAGGAAAGAAAAGTTCAATATAAAAGTTTACAGTTAGTATTATGGACTTCTATTAACTATTGAATTTTCCTCATTAGTTTTCGTTTTCTTAACAGTAATTTCTTAGGACTGGTCACATATTTAGACTGGGTTATGATATTGGTTACAACCATTTCATGCATTTCAATGATGTTTGAAACACCACAATTTCGAGTGATGGAGCAACCTGTTCTTCAAGTTGCTGAATATGCATTTGTCGTCTTTATGAGCCTCGAACTATCACTGAAGATCTTGGCCGATGGACTCTTCTTCACTCCAAAAGCATATATCAAAGATGTGGCTTCAGCGCTTGATGTTTTCATTTATATTGTTTCAACCACATTTCTTTGTTGGATGCCACTCAAAGTTCCCAGTAACTCTCCCGCTCAATTACTAATGATATTAAGATGTGTACGGCCATTGCGAATTTTCACCTTGGTTCCACACATGCGTAAGGTGGTTTACGAATTATGCCGTGGCTTCAAGGAAATTCTACTTGTATCAACATTACTTATTTTACTGATGTTCATTTTTGCAAGCTATGGTGTTCAATTATACGGTGGAAGGTAAGCGATCTTGCAATTGTCATTTTTGTCCGACCGTCCGGTCCGAATTTTTTTTTCGATTTTTGGACGTTCGTCAAAAATGTCCGAATATTTTTTAACAGACAATATGTATGTTAAAAAAACAGAGCAAAAAAGAGATAAATGAATCTGCGAGCAAAAGTGATACAACTCAGCATTGAGTCAAAAAGACGTTTCATGCGATTTTTTCGCTACTGAAAAAAGCGCGTGCCGCGCTAGATTTTTTTCGGCACATCTATGGCTATAACTCGACCAAAATTTTAGGAAAACCAAATCTGGTCGCTGGAATAAAACTATTTAGACCACATCTACCACACCGAAAAAAGTGACAATCCACTCGATAATGCATGAAGTCAACTTGCTCAAGGGGGTGATTGAAGCAATTGGAAAGAAATCGGATGTCATCGACAGCGGTGTATGGGCTCCAGATCTGTGAGCCATATTCGATAATCGGTAATACAAATGTGAAAAATAATTTCTCAATTGTCCACGGGTCCTCGAACTCTCTCCCAAAATGTTTGATCCATGCCAATCTTGACTTTGCTTTGGCGGTAATGAATTCAATGTGTGCGTTGAAATTCATGTTTAAGGCTAACAAAAATATTTATTCAAAAACGTCATTTTCGGCGTTTTTCATAGTTTTCACTTAAATGGTGAAAGATAGAGACGTGGTGTCTTCAGCAATGTTGCAGAGTTTGACAAGCTCTATAATTGTCACGAAGACACATATTCCTTATCTCTCATCAATTCGACGAAAACCTAAAATTTCACGTGATTTTCACGTGTTATTCGCGGTTTTTCGCGGTTCTCCTATTCAGATCAGCTTGTAAGGCTAAGCAATTATCATAGTCTTGAATGTGTTTCCATAATCGGGTATCATCAGCAAATGATTGTAATACTGAGTCGATTGTATGATGGGGCCGACACTACGGTTTCTTGACAGTTCCCATATAAATGAGCCCAGAAGTAAAGCTGTCAACGGACAGAAGGTTGTCCGTCCGTCCGTCCGAAAAGTTCGGACGGACCAAATTGGTCCGTCCGAACTTTTTTTCGGACCGACAGATTTTGTTCGTCCGAACTTTTCGGACAGACGGACAATGTCCGAAAATTTTATCTCGGACAAACGGACAAACGGACAGCATTTGCCCGAAACTGTCCGTGTCCGTTGACAGCTTTACCCAGAAGCGCCAACTGGTGCAAGAACATTTAATACAACCGTTGTATACAATAGTATTCAAAAGCTTACACGTTGGGTATACTGTTATTGACTATTTCGAATAGTAGATCTTTCACATGAAAACATAAAAATCTAAGTTATTATTCTGCACCATTCTTCGCCAGAGGTGGTTTATTTGATATAAATATTCTTTTATATATTTACATGTTATTACATTAATTGAATTGCTATATTTGCATAAAATTTATTACTCTCTCTATAATCTATATATTTATTTATTTTTTTTATTTATTTCACACCGCCAAAAACTGGCTGAATATTTTGGTTTGCAGGAAAACGACTCCAAGAGTCGTGAAAAACCTGATCTTTTCGTGTTTGTACAATATAGGGTATTTTTATACAATAGATAGTTATAGCAGTCTTTCTCGATTTGAATTTAGGGTTTGGTCTATAAAATTTAACACAAAGAAACCTAATCAATACATGGAAATGAGTAGTAAGCCGAATCGTCAACGGTACCAATTATTATTCATTTTGTTTCTTTGAAAATTACCGAAATTCTGTCTATTGCCAAAATTCTGTCTATTACCGAAATTATTACCGAAATTGTTGTCAAATCTACGGAAATTCTGATTATTAAAACCATTGAAACGATCAAAACGATTAAAATTCGACCTAGATGGTCCTTCTATTGATCGCAAAACAGAAATTAATGTATTCACATCTCTACTTCGCGAATTCTTGCCTCTGCAATCACGTTCACGATGACCATTAATGCGACAAAAACCGCAAAATAGTTCGGTTCTACGAACATTATTTTCATCATCACTCTCTGCCTCAATTGCGTATGCAATAGCATCCTCTAATGTGTTGGCTCCACGAGTCAATAGGCGATCTCTCAGTCGATTATTTGTGACGCCTTTTGCGAATGACTTGCGAGCTAGTCTGTTATGTTCTGACTTCTGTTCTTCTGTCAAATGACTGTAAACTGCGTTTTTTTCCAATAACAATTTTCTTGCTCTTTCAGCGTATTTTGTCAAGCTCTCGTCTTTTTCCTGACGTAGATTTTCGAGTTGACTTGTCAAAATGTCTTTGTTTGACAAATAAGCGAAATGAGTTCGCAAAGTTTCTTTGATCGATCTCCAATTAGAATTCTCAAGTTTGATGATAAGATTCCTGGCTTCTCCACGCAATCTTAACATCATTTGGTCAAAAAATTCACGTTCCTCTGCATCATTTTCGATAAAACAATACAAAGTATCGCAAGTATCAATAAAATCTATTAAGATTTGAAATGATTCACCATTGAATTTTGGTATATCATCCAATCGTTTCAAGAATGATTTGCGAGGTTGAGGATTACCCCTCATTGAGTCTTGGAACGACTGCATATCTCGATTGTTGTTCCAATTGGAATTATAATTACCCGATTGAGAAAAATTTGGGTTATTTTGAAACATATTCGAGTTATTGTGATCATTATATTGAGACGGAATCGGTGTGAAGTAACTTGCTCTCTGAGATGTCATATTTGAGGATTGTTCTCTACCTCTTGGTAATTCAAATGAAACATTATTTGGATTCATGAACGAAACTTTTCGTTCATTTAAATAATTTTGCGACATAATGCTCCGTTGAGGAACTTCATTTAAATTATAATCAGTATTTACTGTTAAAATATTGCTTTGTTCGACCGGTTCATCCTCTTGAGGATAAAAAGTTGTTCTGAGTTCTGATAATTTTGTCGAAACGCTGTACATTATAAGGTATCATATTTTCTTCATCTTCTTCTTCAACTTTACTTAACATGGGACCAATCGGATTTGTTCTTCCAATGTTTTTTGAAATTGCCCCAGTACTTGGATTTACAACTCTAGTTTTCAAATTATTTGAGCTTTCGTTATCAATAAATGTCAAATCTTCATTATTTTTGCGTTTTTTATTGTTAGATGCAATCATGGTCGGATCATCTTGATGAATACTAGAAATTTCATGATAACCTTGACTTGCTCGTATAGCATCAAAGAATTTTTCCCTTTCTTCTTTATCCATCTCAAATCTTTTCTTTTCTTCGTCTTCTGTTTCATTCGGCATTGGAAATTGAAAATTGTCTGATTTTGGTTTTTCGGCAATAATAGTAGATGAAAGCGGATTTGGAACTGACTGAGTACTTATGACATTAGTATTGGATGTTGAAATAACATCCGTCACCACAGTTGTTTCAGAATTGGATATGTTCATTGTATTTGGAGTTTGATCTTTTTTTACTGGAGAGTGCCCACCAAAATTCATTTTATTTTGTAATGAGATTGTAATTTCTTGCTCTGTTTTTCTTTTATCATTCAGTTTAATGAGATGTATTTCAGAGTCAATTTCAGTAAGTCGTTTTTGAATTCTATCGATCTCAGTTACTTGTAAACTAGTGTCGGTGGTCTTTGCAATAGTTTCGCCAACTAACTTATCATTCAATTCTTTCTTTTCTGCTAATAAGTCTCTGAGATGTTTCTCTCCTTTCTGAACTGTTTTTCGTTCTTTCTGTTCTCCTATTGCTTCTTCTATTGACTTTATTTTTTCTTCTAAACCTGAGATCTCCAATTGTAAACCCCTCCTTGGAGTATTTTCTTTTTGACTTTGCAATGATTCCTTCAAACGATCTATTTTCTTCTCTAACTTTTGTTTTTCTGAATTAAGTTCGTATATCGTTTTCACCCTATCTCTTTGTTTCGACATTAGATCGAGACAAAATTAACTAAACTTTTCTTCATAAGCACATTCAAAACTATCAACCCTAGAGCACAGAAAACGAATAATCAAATAATTCGCTTCTCTATTTGCACAAGAAATGATTGAAATTTTACTCACTTTGAAATATTAGTCTGCGTTGAGAAAAAAAAGGTTGTTGACGTCTGGTCCCAACTCGTAGTTATGATGATAAAACTAGGTGTAATTGAAGATCACTGTCGATGTGTTGTCCTCTCGATTTATTCTTCTATTAATGTATATAGTCCCGATATCAGCAAATACAGTCCAAAGAATGACAGTATAATCATCAAAGAAATACAAAACTCAAAATCTAAAATAATATTGGTTCTGTATCTCGTCCAAAGCAGCATCGATTATCAAAAATGTTCGACAATAGCGTATAATATTGTATTAAAGTCAATTTTGTTCACTTCACGATTTTAATCAAAAAACGTTGAAAAAATCATTGAAGATTACGGATATTCTCTTTGAAACTCGTTCAAAACTGCAGAAAAATAGTCAAAATTCTCGTTGAAAATTCGTTGAATATTATTGAAAAATCGTTGAAATTTTTCCCGGAAAACTATTGTAACTGTTGTTTTATATTCGTCGAAAATTGTCAAAAAATATTTATTAATTTTGTAATATGTCTTTGATGAATCAGTTGAATGGTTCAAACTGTGCGAGTCATTTGGCGGCTCCACTCACCGAGATTTTCAACGAATCATTGTCGACTGGCCAATTTCCCGATAAATGGAAACGCTCCAGTGTATCACCCATTTTCAAAAAGGGGGCGAGATCGAAAATTGAAAACTATCGTTGCATTGCTAAGCTCCAAACTGTGGCGAAGTTCTTTGAGCATTTGGTGAACGTCAAACTTCTGTCTCTGGTACAGGACAAAATCACCAAAAAGCAACACGGCTTCATGAAGTCCAGATCTACTGCATCTAAACTCACCGAATTTACCTACTATGCCCAGAGAGGCATAAATTCAGGTGCGAAAGTGGATGTTCTCTACACGGAAAGCGTTTGACAGAGTTTTTTTTAATTATTATTATTATTATTCTGCACCATACAGCGTTTCTTCGCCAGAGGTGGTTTATTTGATATAAATATTATTTTGTATATTTACATTATAACACATCGGTCAATAAGTCCCGAGCCTAAGTAGGAAAACAACATTTTTTTGCCAAAATTCAATTTTATTCATCAACATAGTCCCCTTTTAGAGTGATACAATCATTCCAACGCCTTTCTAGCTTTTCGATACCAGTTTTGTAGAACGATTTGTCCTTGGCCTCAAAATAGGCTTCAGTTTCGGCAATCACCTCCTCATTCGAGCCATATCTTTTTCCCTGGAGCATTTTTTTGAGATCGGCAAAAAGCCAGTAGTCACTGGGGGCCAGATCTGGAGAATAAGCCGGGTGGGGAAGCAATTCAAAGCCCAATTCATGCAGTTTGGCCATCGTAACCATCGACTTGTGACACGGTGCATTGTCTTGGTGAAAGAGCACTTTTTTCCTTGCCATATGAGGCCTTTTTTTGGCGATTTCCTTCTTCAAACGCGTTAGCAATGCTATGTAATATTCACTATTGATGGTTCTTCCCTTTTCAAGATAGTCGATGAATATTATTCCGTGCGCATCCCAAAATACTGAGGCCATAACCTTGCCAGCTGACTTTTGTGTTTTTGGGCGCTTTGGTCGACTTCCACCGGCTTCTGTCCATTCAGCTGACTGCCGATTTGACTCCGGAGTGAAATGGTGGACCCAGGTTTCGTCCATGGTCACATAACGACGCAGAAACTCGTTCGGATTGCGCTTAAAAATGGTCAAACAGCTCTCCGAATCATCGACACGATTTTGTTTTTGTTCCGGTGTCAACAAACGCGGCACCCATTTCGAACACAGCTTTCTCATGCCCAAATGAT